AATACAGTTACATATAGGTATTTATAAGATTTGAGCATATAAAAAACAGAAAAGAGTAAAAATGAACAAGAATACAAAACAAATAAAACATTAAATGTAAGAAACAAACTGTAATAACAGAGGTATATAAAAAATTGAATTTGATCTGAATCGGCTGAAGTACTATCATTTTTTTAATTTATACATATCATTTAGTACCTACCTACCTATATGTGAATTTATCACTTATTTTGTGAAATTTATTTAAACAGAGCGTGCTGAAATATCATGCAATTTATAAGTGTATGTGATCAACTAAAGATTGATAATAATATATAGGTAATTATAATAATAAATAAGTGTCAACATATTTTTCATTATGTTATGAAATGTTTCAGAAGATTAGATCAATATGCAAATCAGGAGATCTACTGAAAATTCAGTAGAACTGGAGGATGAAAAGTTAGTGTATGCGGACGAAATGTACTTTGCCTTCGGAAATAGTCGGTTTTTCGTTCGGAAATTAGAACGTAAAATGTGATTATTTTTTGTTGTATCCAAGACTGGAACCTTTTGCACGATAATACTACACTATTTCACCACTATAACCAAACCGATTTTTCAAACGCCTCGACACGTGTTTCGCTAATTATGTTAGCATCTTCAGGAGAAGATTACAACTGTTTTAATTATAGTGGTAAAATAGTGATAGTGTAGTGTATTTTATTTACAACCATATACAGGGTGGGCCACCAGTAACGCCTCGGTCTCTAGAAGGGTAACCACTTATCTTCTTGGAATTCTTCCTCTCTAGGAAGTTGCATGTCAACATAGGCTACCATTCAAAATTATTTCGAAACATACAGGGTGTCCCCAAAAACCATAAAACACTGAAGTTGACTTTTTTTCTATCGAACACCCTATATATTATTTCATTTTGAGATTCTCCCTGATGAGCTGATTTCAACGACCTATCATACTTGGGGTCTAGCAGTTATAATTACAGAAATATAGGGTGTGAAAAATCGAGATTTTCCAAGTTCAAGAATTTTTTGTGTCGAAACGAACTATTCATAATTGGTCAAAACGGCTTACATGTCCCTATCTCAACTTTTGATTGACTATCTACTGATATTTAATTGGGACATATACCGGGTGATCAAGATTCTGAATTCTGCACCACCCTGTATTTGTTTCAATTTAATGTCAGTAGATAGTTGATCAAAAGTTGAGATAGAGACATGTGAGCCGTTTTGACCAATTATGAATGGTTTAGACACAAAAAATTCTTGAACTTGGAAAATCTCGATTTCTCACACCCTATATCTCAGTAATTATAACTGCTAGACCCCAAGTATGATGGATTGTTGAAATCAGCTCACCAGGGAGAATCTCAAAATGAAATAATATATAGGGTGTTCGATTGAAAAAAGTTCAACTTTAGTATTTTGCGATTTTTGGGGACAGCCTGTATGTTTTGAAATAATTTCAAATGGTAGCCTATGTTGACATGCAACTTCCTAGAGAGGAAGAATTCTAAGAAGATAAGTGGTTAGCCTTCTAGAGACCGAGGCTTTATTGGTGGCCCACCCTGTATTATGAAATGTTGTCATTACTAACGTCATTGAACGTTGGGAAGTGTCACATTACACACCTCTACTTCCCGCCCTCACCTCCCGCCCCTCACTATTTCCCGCCGTCACTCATGTAATAATTCAGGTATGTTCAGAACGAAACATAGATTTATCGATTTTGATCGAAATATGATGGTTGTAAATAAAATAGTATACAAACATCGGTAGGAAGTTTCATTCCTGTCTCGAAATTATAGCTAACCTCGACGCTTTATTGCGTCTCGGTTAACTAACTACTAATCTCACGCCAGGAATGAATCACTTCCCACCTCCCACCATACCATTTGAATCGACAAAATTGTCAAATCTCAATACAAAATTGACATTTTCCATAAAATATCATTATTTTTCCTCGTTAGCAGAAATAACGAAAATACGGTTAGCATCGGCCATCGCTTCCACGAATCTATTGTTGCATGATGAAAAATACTGTCAGTGCACTATCAAACAGACCTCCTGATGTAGCAGAAAGTGCGAGAGTTTCATATTCTCCTTTCCGAAAAATAAGGCGGGTCACTTTTTATTGGATTTACCATTGTAAAATGACAACTGGAATGCCAATATTATGGCAATGATAGTTCATTGGGGTGAAACTGCTTGAAAAGTGATAGACCATGTATCCATGTTTGCTAATGGATATATCATAGGTAAAACTATATTATACTATATTTATCGTTTTCTGTCTCAAAATGTCTAGTTCAAAAATATAAATGGTTTGAATCATCACAGTGGGCATTCTAGATTGCAAAACATAAAGCTCATCAGTGTAAACCAATTTTATAAAAAAAGAAGAAAATTTCTTATCAAATTATGATGTATATTCTTGGGGTATCTTTAATCAAACAAGTCTCCTTATTTTCTATTACCTCTTGAAATTAATGTACAAAAATCTGGACTACATTGTATATAGGACGTTTTTATCAATTTTTATGACTCACTTGTCACATATATGAATTCAGGACCATCCTGTGTATGTTTTGTAAATTTTGAACACACCTCTGACATGATATAATGTATAAGAATCAGCACATGAAGAATTGGGCTTTTATCAAGAATAAATTAAATTGAGAAAGAATCTACACATAATACAACTATTTCCCCTAGACATCTCCTTGAAAAAAACACTGTCTATTATTTACCTAACTCTTTGGAATATAATATCATAATATGTAGGAAACAGTGAAAACAATATTGATCAACTTATTATAATTGAATAAATAGTAGATTATAGTTCATCATTTAAGTCTATCAGTGAAAAAAAAAGCAAGATGAGTGAAGCATAATTATAACAATGGAACAGATAAAAGATAATGTTAACATCTGAAACATCCATGAGGAGAGTTCAATATTCATGGATTTCTTGAAAAATTAGTACAACTTGTGAAAAGTGTATACCTATATCCCTACTTCAAAGTTGGGAACATATTACATACACATATTCCATGATTAGAGCAAAAAGTACTTGATAGGTTTAATACTCACCGATGATAATAAATGATACATTTTCACCTAGAAAGGATGGTGGCCTGGTCTTTCAGTCAGTTAGGTACATACCTATTATAACTTCAAATTTCCCCTTTCTTCTGGAACCAATTATAGGTACTCTTATTACTTATCATAATTATTCAATAAAACTACTGTTCCTCATTTTGACAACATTCGACTCAGCAGGACTAGCCGACAGACAGACACATAGTAAAGTTGGGAAACCCTTGAGAGCTCTCTACTGTGCCTTGAGAAAGCGAGGAGGGAGAAACCGCAAACTCATTATTTCACCCATTCACCCATTACTGTTTCACCCTGACATTCAAAGATGACAGAAAAAAATTAAAAAGTGAACTATTAACTATTTAGCTTTTGAACTATTGGACATTAGGCAGTTAAAGAAATCACCATTTTTCTGAAATAATAAGAAGAATGAAAGGAGAAGAAGAATGTCAAAAATCAAGAAAGTGTATAGACTGCCGACCAGTCGGCATTCTATAATTTTTCTCTGGACTGCCGACAATTCAGTGGAATCATATACGTATTAATAAACAATACGGATCATAACGGGTGCCAGGATGAAGCCAAAAATATGAAACAAATAAATATCCATAAGGATTTGGTGGCATGATACGAATGCGCCATGCGCTATTATAGTAGTCATCAAAGACATGCGTTTCGGTGGACAATGACGTTTACTAGCCTTTCAATCAAAGCAGTATGTGTCTGATCGTTTCAAAACTTTTCCTTATGGATAGTCATTTGTCTTCAAAAATCGGCTTCATGTTTCGCTATGGAACAGATAGTGATTATCCGTATTGATTATTAATACGTATATGAGTGGAATACACTCTTTCTGTATAAAACCGGTCGGCAGAGTGGCAGAGTATACTCTTCGTTTGAGATGCCGACTAGTCGGCAGACTCAGGGTTATAGCAGACTACAATCATCGCAACATATGTCATACATGTACTATTTCTATATATGGCGCATCGCCTATATATATCTCAACAAAAATGGGACCAAAATGAGAGGCACTTTTTGAATATATATGGACGGAAAGTGAAGGATGGAAAATGCTGACGTGAGGATCAGATTTTGAGTTAGGTTAGGTTCCTAAATAATTATTTGAACATAAGAAAATATTAAAAATCATTACCAAAGTATACAGTACCTTTGTGCAGGTCAATATTATATGAACAATAAAATTTGAAAATTCAAACTTACTTATGAAAAGAAGATTCCTGTCTATTCTTTTCTCCGCAAATACTGCATTTCGTTCCACTAGACATGGTTGAAAAAGTTCAGTCTATGAAAAATAAACTAAAACACAAACACTAAAGAATTGTACAACTAAAAACGCAAATATTCGAATTTTAATCATCAAAATCACATCCGCGCTAGAACCAATTCGAAAATTCGAAATTCGTAGCCATATTGGTAACAAGTTTCGCATTATTTTTCCCTACGTCGGCATCAACGATTCAATTCGATTCTGTATGCAGGTTGCCTGCCGTACCTTTCCTTTGCCATTCTCGAAATGTTTACTGCTCAGGACTCTTTTTTGCGCTAATCTATTTGTTTGAACTGCACGGTTTGTATCGAATGTTTTTCCCGATGTCCCGATCATTGATTTTCGTGATTTCCAATCGAAGCCATCTTGAGAGCAACCTTTTGGTAGCGATCCTCCGACAAATTAATTAATCTTGTATAAGGGATATACTTGGTGTTATATTTTAGGTAAGAATATAAGGATATGTTATAAGGTAAAGGTTCATAACTACTTTAATGTTATATTTTAGCGGTTTGAGAACAGCTATGCTTCATATATGAGTACTAGATATATGCATCGCAACATCATCTATGACCTTGGTGACCGCGAATAGATTCATGCCGACTGGTCGGTAGTCTATACACTTCCAAAAATCAAATTCAAAACAAACACCAGCACGTGTTGAATGAAAGCTGGATGTTGAACTTGTGAAGAATCCTGGTGAAAATTTGGCAAGACAAATAAATGAACATGTCCGAGGAAACTGAAGAAAAACAATGTAATTTTCATGAAATGGAGTTAGATGACCGAATACTCAAGGTACCTTCTAATCTCCTTCTAATAATGTCACTATTTCTGCTATTACTAGTCTTACTTCTTGGAGGGATATAGAAGTTGAATATAATAGTCCATGTATTATTCTTTGTGGTGGTTTGATTTTTAGGCTATAGCAAAACTGGGATGGCAAACTCCTACCTTAATTCAAGAAAAAGCCATACCTCTTCTTCTAGAAGGTAAAGATGTGCTAGTTAGAGCTCGGACAGGTTCAGGAAAAACAGCAGCATTCGCCATCCCTGTGATTCAGAAAATATTGAATTTCAAGCAAACTGCCTCTCAACAAGAGATAAAGGCACTGATTTTAGCCCCAAGCAAAGAACTGTGCCATCAGATATGTGGTGTTATTAAAGACCTCACTATCAAATGTTCCAGGGAGGTTAGGTACATTGATGTATCTCCTCAAGTGGATTTGAGTGTGCAAAAACCATTGTTGGTTGAAAAACCTGATATTGTTGTTGGTACTCCTGCCAGGGCACTTCAACATGTCAAAGCAGGAAATTTAAATTTGAAAAAGTCATTGGAGTTGCTTGTTATAGATGAAGCTGACCTAGTGTTCTCTTTTGGTTATGAGGATGAAATGAAAGAACTCATGAGGTAGGATACTTTCTAATTGTGGGCAACTGGTGATTGTTCACCATGTATACACAGTTAGTAACAATCTTCTATTTCATTATAGGAATCTTCCCAAAATATATCAAGCCATTTTGGCATCTGCTACCCTGAGTGAAGATGTGAAAAATCTGAAAAATCTTGTCCTTCACAATCCTGTCACTTTGAAGCTGGAGGAACCTGAATTGGCTCCAGCCAGTCAGTTGACACATTATCATTTAAATGCAGAAGAAATGGACAAAGCCACCATTTTGTATGCCTTACTGAAGCTCCATTTGATTAGAGGGAAGACCATAATTTTTGTAAATACTGTGGATAAGTGCTACAAGTAAGTAATATTCTCTATCACAATATACTCAGTATCACAACAATATTGAGAATATGGAATGATAGTCATTTCCCACAAGAAAGAAGTTTTCAACATGAGCTGCAGGGTAGTGCTGCAATTCATATGAGTGGAATATTAGAATTCTGTGCACATTATACACTATACTTTTTCGAGGGCTGTAACAAATGACAATTACATTTTTGATTTCTTGTAGTCATCTGGGAATGCTAAAATCAGAAGCAGAAGCTGCCATTGCTTAAAATTTGACATTTCATGAGATATAAGATTACAGGAAATAATAACACAATGAAGTCATTGTGATATCAGAATTGGAAATGAAATAAAGTTGTACACTCTAGTCAAATTAACACCATTTATCTATTTTATATGATTTTATATTGATCATTCTGTGTATAAAATAGTATTTGATGCTATCATTTCTCATTTAAAATCATCACAAATATTTTTTTCAATAATTAAATTCAGTGATTTTGAAAAACGCCAGGTTCAATGATGTCATGCACTGAATTCTGGCTCTAGCATAAAAAGTAGAACCACATATTTTGATGCTGTCAGATTTATAACTAGTAATTACCTTATGAGATTCAATATGATCAATCACAAAAGTTTGACATGGTCCCTAATAATCATCATGGGAATATTCAAAGATAATCCTCATAATCTGATACTTTAGTTGGGTGTTGTGTTTTCTGTTATCTGCAGTGAGTATTCAATCCAGAAAATTCAGTCCATGTGCTGATTGAAATGACAATCAGAAATATTCTTGCACTTGTCTATCAGAAATAAAGAATTGAAAAATTGGTTGAATCCTATGTGGTGTTCTCGGATGATTACGTCACGCCTTTTTCCGCGTTTTTCATGCTATGAATTATCATGAATTTCAATAATTATTTGAAAAAGTTACAGAGGTCTGAGAAAAAAACGGTTTGCCACAGTGAACTAGTTACGGTTAGTTCTTCGAAATAATAAAATAAAATTCTTCACTGAAACAAGAATCATAATCTCCCACACAGAAAACCCCCAGGCATCAATTTTGAATAGAATCGGTTCATAATAAAATTACAAAACTCGTCCGTCATATTGGATCCTCCGAGGGATCCTCCATCTCGAATTTACTGATTTTGGCGGAGGAATCTATTTCCGACCCCGCAAAATCCCCAGACACAAATTTTGAATAGAATAGGATGATAATTACAAAACTCGTCCCCATATTGGATCCGCCATCTTGATTGATTGATTGATTTATTTTGATGGAAGAATCAGAATCATAAAACTCCGTCACCATTCGCTGCCACTCGATCGAGCAGTTCAACCATGGCGTCTATGACGTCATCGTCGCCTCCGACGAGGAGGCCAGGAAGGCCTTAGAAGCGCCCACCGATTTTGAGCTGACCTTGCAAACGTTGTTTTGCTATATAAATTATTTCTATAATATAATATTCATCAAGACAATATTATTATTTTATTTTCTACTTCTTTTTAGTTCTGGTATCTATAAAAGCGTGTTTCTTTAGCTTTTCAAACTACCATTTATTTCAACTTATCTTTAGTTCACTTCAATTTCCTAATTTTGCCGAAAGAATCATAATATCCGACTCCTAAAACTCTAGTTAAATTTTTTTAATAGAATCGGAACATAATCACAAAACTCTTCCGCAATATTGTATCTACCATCATAATTCCCCAATTTTGACGAAGGAATCATAATTTTTTATCCCGAAAATGCCCACTTACAAATTATGAATAGAATCGATATATAATTACCAAACTCGTCCGGTATATTGGTTCCACCGTCTTGAATTTCCAAATCCCGCTCTTTCCAAATTTTGACCAAAGAATCATAATCTCCGGCTACGAAAACACCCAGATAACAATTTTGAAGAGAGTCGGATCATAATTACAATACTCGTCCGTGATATTGGGCTTGCCATCTTGAATTTCCTAATATTGACGAAAGAATCATAATCTCCGACCCCGAGAACCACCAGATACCAAATTGGAATAAAATCGGATCCTCATTACAAAATCCGCCATTTTGGATCCGTCATCTTGGATTTATTAACTTCGACGATGGAACCATAATCCCCGATCACGAAAACCCCTAGGTACCAATTTTGAAAAGAATCGGATTATAATTACAAAACTCGTACGCCATATTTTTTCCGCCATCTTGAATTTTCAAATTTCGCCGGAATATTCAAATTCTGACAAGAGAATCATAATCTCCGACCCCGCAAACCCCCAGACACCAATTTTGAATAGAAACGGACCTTAATTACAAAACTCGTCCGATACAAACAAACAAACCAAATCTTTCCTCTTTGTAATATTAGTAAAGATAATATAAACGCCGAAGCAAGTAAACCACCGACATGATTACTATGTTGGTGAAGTTGACACTGACATTAGAGGTTACCTCTGAGAGGATTCTGCCACCAATCAAATCAGGTAACTTGTAAATCACGGCCCCCATCATTCTCATTCGAAGTCAGCCAGCTGTAGTCTTTATAATATTTATTTGCGTGTGTATGGAATTAGCAAAGACCTACGCACAACTTGCTATCCTCTTTCAGAGTAGAATATAGAGAAGCAATTTCTATCATGACGTTTGAAGACACAAGTCACGACATCAAGCTCGAAATCAACGGGTTAAACGATTGCATATGGAGAGGTTCGTATCTCGGGGCGCATTCGAGTTTGCTATTGCTATATTGCAGAGGCGTGCAGTACTGGAATACTTGCATTTTTTCCAGAAACATCACGCTACTGCTTCATTAAAACATCTGAATTTAAATTGATTGGAACTAGGGTCCCTTGATGTAAATTGACGTATTTGTCATCTTAACAGGGCACGGACAGATCCTCGTCTCCTCTCACTCTAAAGTGTTTGTGAAACAGTTATATAGTTCATCTTTATTCATTTCTGGGGATAAACACTAGATTTCTGACATTTGTTGTTTTTTAGGTTATATTGAGGACATTGGCGAATCATACGTAATTTCCACATGTAATTTCTCATTCAACTCTACATATTATATCCAAATGATGATGATAATGTTCGAGTTTTTGATTTTCAACTCCAGCATTATCTTTGTGAGGCGTTGAGCTTTTTCTGAAAGTTTAATACGTTTTCCCAAATGCAACTGTAGGCAGTACCTATCAATACATGAATTTTGATTTCAGACTAAGCCTTACGGTTGAGAAATGGTGAAAAATGTATGTAGGTATTCAAACTATTGTGCTGATATGTCATGTGTGCTGTATACATATATTCATGTTGGGAAACATTTTTGCAGTTTTTCCGAACACTTGATATTTCCTGAATGTAGGTATAATTTTTTGAATGGTAGGGCATATGCCTCTTCTTTTAATCCTCCGTTTTAATTAAAACTGTTTCTACTAAAATGCATTGAAACATTTGTGGAGTGGATAATTATTATAGGCACAATTAGAAAGTATAATATGTGATTTCGTATTAGTTCTACCTCGAATATTTTGCTGATGTATTTACCAATTTTCCCCATACGGTCACTTCACTTTCCATACACTACACTGTTTTACCACTAACCAAACCGATTTTTTGAACGCCTCGGCACGTGTTTCGCTAACTATGTTAGCATCTTCAGGAGAAGATTAAAACTCAGTTTTGTGACTCACTCAAGTAAATATGCAGACTATAGATGATTGCTATGCAGTGGATAAACAGGAGGTGCCTTAACATTTACTTTGACTATTGTTAGTCAATGCTAGCAGTCGTCAGATAGCATACATTTCAGTTTATGATTGATAAACCGGCCCTTAATATACAAAAACGTCAGAACAAAAGTGTCAAGTAGGTACATTAAGGAACTCTACGGTTGAAATTCTATCTGGAGCGTCCTCAACTCCGAGCTGTCGACTACCATCCGCTGTCATTCGGTGGACCAGTTCAACCAGGGCGTCTATGACGTCATCGTCACCTCCGACAAGAAGGCCTAGGAAGCGTCCACTGATTTTGAGAAACTTCTACTCTGGGCCGCGCTTCTTGACGGTGATAGAGTAGATTGTTTCTTGGGAAGCGCTCCCCGATTTGTTTGTTTCTACTCCTTCATATCAGAACAAGAATTTCCTATTCTTGAGCAAGAGGGAGGGAGCAAAATCATAGCTCCCCGTTAGGTGTTGTCACGTGTTGCCAATGGTGACGACCAATCAAAAACGATTATTTTCGGACATTCTGACATTCTACAGATAAGGTGAAGGGTGAAGGTGAAGGTGAACGTTGAATGTTAAATATCATTTTTTCCAAGTTATTATTCATCATTCCAGAATTATTCTCAAATTGGTCATGAGGTGAAAATTGCACCTCATCAGCTAAATATATAGGTAGTTGATGTGACATACCTTAGTCTGAGGATTCACAATGTTAATGAGTTGCCTCGTTAAACCTTTTCTTAGCCGAAACCTTTTCAAAAATTTCTGATCAGACAACTCGAAAGGGTTTTGTTTGGGAAGTATAACCACATAAACGTCATTTTGTAGGTCAGAATCTAGAATATCTTAATTCATATGTTTTTTGATTCCAAAGCACAATCGAAATCCCAGGAAATATAGAAATTTAAAGAAACTAACCGAGACTGATGAGAGAGCTGTAATTTTTTCATTAAATTTAATGACAGGGAGCCAATCAAAAGCGTTCCCGGTTTGGTTCTCTTAAAAATCTTGATAAATTCTTCTTCATCTTGTGTTATTCAATTCAAGAATACGGTATACAGTTTCAGGCAGTGGACACGCCCACTATCTCTCGATTGTTCTACTCCCCGATTTTTAAGAATCGCAGCCATGAACTTTCTCCAAAGTTTACTATTTTCATATTTCTGTACTTAATATCCATCTTGTGACTGTTTTGACAATATAGATAATAATATAAACGCCGAAACAATTGAACCACCAACATAATTACTATATCGGTTTCTACTTCACCAATATTAGTGGTTACCTCTGAGAAGATTCATCCACCAATCAAATCAGGTATCTTGTAATTTGGAGTCACAGCTAGAAGACTGATATGCAGTGGATGAGCAGTAGGTGCCTTAACAATGACTTACTATTACTCAACTGTCAGTCAGCCAGCATGCAGACCGCTATATGTCATATCTCAGCAATCCGAAAATCTCGGTTAAATTGCTCGCCTGACGCTTCTGCTCAATGCACAAGAACCCTCAAACTGTCGTTCACCCAGCGAGCAATGTTTCTTGGTGTTCGGAAAAATGAGTAAGAGTGAGTAAGATATATGACAGGTACTAAATGCGCATGGTCCATGTTCCCTAGTTCGATCTCGTGAATAGCTCACCTTTTTTCTCATGGTATTAGTGGCCTATAGTATTAACAACTCCAAGAGGCCAGCGGTAAACGAAAGTGACTAACGCGTGATTCTTTTTTCATCGCTTGGAGCGCACGAAAGAGAATACCTATAATGTTTAAAGAACATCGTGCGTTCCTAGGGAGGATAGGGACAGGAGGTAGGTATTGGATTTTTTTTTAACTTTTGGAGATTGTATGTTGTTGGGAATACTTCCACAGGCAATGAGGATAGGCGAGAGTAACGGTGTACCGTCTGCAAAACCGCATTAGTAATCACGTTCATTTCATTTCATTTTTTCATTTCATTTATTGGATCATGTTATGTATGTACAAATACATTTATGACAGGTCACATGATATTATAAACATTTTTAGTAATATAGATATACAAATGAGTACAATAAAAAAAACATATTATATAGATAAAATATGGTATAGACAATAATTCATATACTAATTATTACAGAACAACATATTAAAAAAAATCAGTACACAATTTCATCAGATGATTAGAGCATACTAGCGAAAGAGAACGGCTGGATAATTAATTATTTTATTTGATTCACGATTCAGTGAGTATATTATGTAAACCCTGTTTCATAAAGTTAGTATATTCCTCAAGGGAGTAGAAGGCATTTTCAATCAGACATGATTTGATAGTTTTTTTGAAGTTGAATATATTCATATTTTTGACTTCAGTGGGGAGAATATTATATAGGCTATAGTTTATAGAATTCTTTTTCGATTTAGTGAGCCGATATCTATGCAATCTAATCATTTTTGCTCCTCTGGTATCATGGTGATGAACGTCTGAATGCGTTGTTAATATTGGAGATTTGTTGTGAATATCATTAACCGTGTTCCAGATGAAAAGTGATGGAAGAGTGAAGATTTTCAATTTCTTGAAAAGAGGTCGGCAAGATTCTCTATAATTTGCATTTCTCAAGATCCTTATGGCCTTTTTTTGCTGTCTGAAGACAGTAGAAGCTGTCGATGAGGTACCCCACAGTAAAATTCCGTAATTGAGGTGGGACTGAATTAAGGAGAAATATACCGTTCTCAGTGTAGTAGTGTTAGTAAAGCGTCTTAGTTGTCGCAAATTGAAAAGTGAGCTAGATAGTTTCATATTCAGTTGCCTAACGTGAGCCGACCAATCGAGCTTATCGTCTAGAGTCTGACCCAATAGTTTTACTTCTTGATGCGTGATCACTGCTTGTTACAGTGTTTACGGCTTTAGCTGTACTATAGATAGTAGTTTATGTCGGTGGTTTCAGCTCATCATTGATAAACGATATACCAAAACGCCAACACAAAAGTGTCAAATTACATTTAGGAACTCTACAGGTTGAAACTATCTGGAGCAGTTCGCTATTCCAACGTGCGTCCTCAAATCCGAGCTGCCGGCCACCATGCCACCGCTGCAAGTCGGTCGTCCAGTACAACCAGGGGGTCTATGACGTCATCGTAGCCTCCGACGAGAAGGCTTCGGAAACGCCCACCGACTTTGAGAAACTGTTCACTATTCTTAACTATCCCCAAAGTCTACTACTATTTTCATATTTTTGTAGTTTATAATCATTTCGTGACTTTATTGACAGTATAGATAATAATACAAAGGCCCAAGCAAGTGAAACACCAACATAACTACTATATCGGTGAAGCAGACATCTGAGAGAATTATTCCACCAATCAAATCAGGAACATATTTCGAATATCACGGCTACCAACATTCTCATAATTCGGAGTCACTCAGCTAGAGGACTGATATGCAGTGGATAAGCAGTATGCAATGACAATGACTCTGATTTGGTCTATTGGTCAATGTTAGGTAAAAGTCAGCTAGCATGCAGTTTTAGCCACTGAAATAAGTAGTATCTAGACCACTTTATGTCATATCTTGGCAACCCGATTATTTCGGCAAAATTGCTCGCCTGAAAATTCTTCTGCTCGATGCTCAAGAACCCTCAAACTGTGGTTAATATTTATTTATGGAAAAAATACAAACAGGGCGTCGAGGTCCTAATTACATGATTTAATTTCCCTAATCCTAGCTAACGGGTCTTCAACGATGATTGAAAACCACGTGACAGATTACTAGGCAACCGAGAATATATTCGTGTATCTTTAACGTCAGTGGAAAAGAGACGCAGCATAAAAAATTGTCACGTGGCACTCAATCATTGTTGAATACTCGGTATAAACTGAATGTAACTTATTCTGATGGTATTACCATTTAGTTTCATACTAATATCCCTTCATATGCCTGGTAGAGTTCTTTATCATATTTTCTAATTATGAAATTTGTATAATGTTGAGGCAGTGAGGAAAGAGGGAATTACGATTGTAAAATGGAATACAATTTGGCTAGCCATGAACGTGATTTTATCATCAGAGATTTCAACCGACTCACGGCAACAGTGAAGACGTCTAAGTTCCGTTCAATTGAATATTTGTTCAGGGGAGAGCAACACTTGTCAATTATATTTGGCCTTTTAGGCACCGAGAATAACTTTTTTGTCTCAAGTTTCGAGACTGGACCATGAATTTAATTTCATAAAGGAGATATGGACTGTTTATAGAATTAGCAAGCAATTTGCGAACAAACGTCAGTTTGTGAATATTTGCACGTTGCTCTAATTTGATCACTCCAAACTCTTTTCTATGAGGTTTTGAGGTTTATAAGATAAGTAACCTGGGGTCGTGTGGTGTTCACTTCAGATGTTCAACTTCAGATACAAAAAAAAAACACGCATCACCATGTCTGATATGGCCTATGTATCAGAAATTAAATTTCTGGGTGTTCATTTAGATGAGTTCGTGAGCTGAGACAAACACATAAATCATATCAGTAAAAAACTTAGCTCAGCATTCTATGCCATTGTGCAATTGAAAGAAACTGAATTTGAGTACTCTCATTAGTGTATACTATAATAATGTCTGTCTATGGGGTAACGCTATGACAATGACTCTGACTATGGGTGAATGTTAGCTAAAAGTCAGCTAGTATACAGTTTTAGCCACTGAAATGAGTAGTATCTAGACCACTATATGTCATATCTTAGCAACCCGACAATTTCGGCTAAATTGCTCGCCTGAAAACCCTTCTGGTCGATGCGCAAGAACCCTCAAACTGTGGTTAACGACAGCGAGTTATGTTTCTTGGAACATGGAAACATTGGTAAGAGTGACTAATATATATGACAGGTCCTAAAATACGCATGACTCATGTTCCCCAGTCCTATCTTGTAAGAGGCTTAGAGTCCGACTTGGTTAACTTTGGACAGCACGTGGTCATGTATGCATTTAATATTTATTTATTTAAAAAAACTACAAACAAGACGTTGAGGTCCTAAGTACATGATTTAATGTCGCTAATCCTAGCTAACGGGTCTTCAACGATGATTGAAAACCACGTGACAGATTACGATGCAACCAAGAATCATTCGTATCTCTTTAACGTCAGTGGAAAAGAGACGCAGCTTCAAACATTTTCACGTGGCACTCAATCATTGTTGAATACCCGGTATAAACTGAATGTACATTTTTCTGATGGTATTAACATTTTCATATGCCTGGTAGAGTTCGATATCATATTTTCTAATTATGAAATTTGTATAATGTTGAGGCAGTGAGGAGAGATGGATATACGATTGTAAAGTGGAATACAATTTGGCTAGCCAGGAGGGAGAGTATCACCGTTACTCATAATTGTATCATCAGAGGTTTCAAACGATTCACGGTAAAAGTGAAGACGTCTAAGTTAAGTTCAATTGAATATTTGTTCAGGAGAGAGCAATACTGCCTAGAAGGTCATGTTTGACCTTCTAGGCACCGAGAATAACTTTTTTCTCAAGTTTCGAGACTGGGCCATGAATTTGATTTGATATAGGAGATATGGACTGTTTATGGAATTGGCAAGCAATTTGCAAACAAACGTCAGTTTGTGAATATTTGCAAGCTGTTCTAATTTGATCAGTCCCATCTCTCTTCTATGAGGTTCATAAGAGAAGTATCCTAGAGTCGTGTGGTGTTCCTTATAATATAGGTATGATATGAATTTGTTCTGTACTAAATTAATACTGCCTGTATTGTTTCCACTGCTTTTTTCATAGCAACGTGTATCAAATTTGACAGAACTGTCGATAAGTATTCCAAGGTCGAGAATTAGAGAGCATCTGATTACATTCTGATTGTTGATCATATAGCCTGACACGATAGCATTTCGTGAGCGACTGAGAGATGAAGTTCTGTATATTTATTGCATATGCGTTGAAACACGCGGTGCCCCAAAGTTAACCTGGCTGGACTCTACCTTATTTCTTATGGCATTAGCGATCTCGATAGTAGTTCGTGTCGATGGTTTCAGCTCATGATTGATAAACTGGCCCTTAACATATCAAAACAAAAGTGTCAAGTACATTGATGAACTCTACAGGTTGAAACTCTATCTGGAGCAGTTCGCCATTCCCACCTGCGTCCTCAACTCCGAGCTTCCTGCCACGATCCGCTGCCACTCGGTCGACCAGTTCAACCAGGGCGTCTATGACGTCATCGTGGCCTCCGACGAGAAGGCCTTGGAAGCGCCCACGGACAGCGATGCGGCGCGCGACGTCAAGAAGTCCAAGAGAAGGAAGGACAAGGAGAGCGGCGTGTCGCGAGGCATCGACTTCCGGTGCGTCGCCAACGTGATCAATTTCGATTTCCCGCTGGACGTGAACGCGTACGTGCATCGGGCCGGTCGGACAGCGAGAGGGAATAACCAGGTAATTTTTTGTTGTCTGTTTTTAACTCTCCAGTGGGCGCGTGGTTGTGAAGAGGTAACGTTCTTTGCACAGTCACGCGGATCACAATAGTGATCCAATCAAAATATAACGATTTTTCAACTTTTTTCACGTGCTTCTTTTTTCCATGTCTTTTTGAGAACTCTTCCAAGTGATTCATATCAAAAATAACATTCTCATTGAAAAATAATTTCAATTTTGTGTTCATTCAATTCCATATTTTGCTGGCTTGCTTGGTATGTATATGCGAAACCGACAATAGAAGTTGTACATCCACAGTCAAGGATTCACCTGGAGAATAGTATTTTCTGAAGTTGAAAATTATTATTTTATGAACATCCCTCATTGGGGCCAATTTATCAGTTATTTTTGGATTTTCTCTATCGTGAGAAATCGAAATCTGTTGATGCTCCTGGACAACTAGCAGGTTTCGATATATTATGCTTCACCGAAAACCTCCTATCAAGAAGAGTATTACAATTATTGCTTCGATTTCCATTTCGTCCGTAGGTCTTGCATCTCTATCTCTGCTGAACTTTAATTTCTGAATTGTGATGTATGAGTTCGTGCATGTAGTTATTATGTGAATAATTTCATCATATAAAAATAACTTTAGGCAATCATATTCTGAATCAGCTTGTCTTGCAATTCCCTTCAGTCCTGGAAGATGGGTTATAATATTATGTGAGCAAGTACACACCGCAGTGTTCAGTTTATCTTTTCCTCATTTGGTATTCCCATTTTTCCCAAACAAAATGGTCGTTGTATAGATTCGCTTAGAAATTAAGCATCATTTTTCATAGTTTCAGGAACAGCTTCTTGGTCAGACTCAGAATTGTTGTCACTAAATTCCACATCATCGATTTCACTATGGGACTTTTTTTGCCATCTGCTGAAGTTGAAAAATAGTTGATTATTATATGAAGAACGAGTAATTCGCAATTCATTACTCACCTGAGATCACAATGGTGATCCAAAGTATGTGCGAATTATTACCAATAACTCTAAGAGCGTTCGAGCTATGACTGGTGTGGCAACCTATACCCAGGTCAATTACAGGAAGCTATTGAAATCCCAACCGATATTTGCGAAGATTTCAGAGCGCAGCATCTAATCAAAGTACGGTGGATCACTATTGTGATACACGGAGTACTGGAGGGTTGATAATAGTTATTTTTATTTTACGTCTTTGATGAATTCTTTATGAAACCAAAATGCAAATTTTTGAGAAATACATTTCATTTTTTTTACTTCATTGTTGGAGATACAAAAATACTGAAAATACTTTTCCATTGCAACTTTTGATGCGATTTAACGTAAGTATTGGTCCAGTAATGCTGCCCTGAGGTGCACCTATTTCAATGTCAGTTAATTGTGATGAGGCAGTAACATTATTGTAATTGCTTTCTGGCAGATGGCATTTGACATGTTCTGTACACTATGGCGGTTGCTATGAACAGAACATTTAGTGTTCTTACCTAATATACCACAAATACTATCAAAACTGTTCAATTCATTCTTTTCAGAAGTTCTAAATTATCCTACGTGATTCATCATAAGCCGATCATAACTGCATATTTTGTCAGTATTTTTTTTTGCAGGGTAGTGTATTATCATTTGTCAGCATGAAAGAGAAGATTTTATTGGACAAAGTGGAGACAAAAATTAGATATGGTCAAGAAGATGTTTCGGTTTTCAAGTAAGTTTCTGAAGTATTGTTGGTTTATTTCCTTTATATCATTTTTTATGACACTTGCCGGACGGAACTGTCAAATCTTGGATTCCATTATCCATAGTACAATTTTTGCAGAACAACAAGAGCTACCTATATTTGCTTGTGTCGTTCCTATGATTTAAATTCAATCTGGATTTGATCAGTCTTCACGATTTACCATTAACTGAACAACGGCCCTTGTTAATAATAATAATAGTCATAATATATTTTGTATAATTTTGTAGATCGTATCAATTCAAATTAGAAGAATTGGAATCCTTCAGATACAGGGCCAAGGATGCATGGAGGGCAGTCACAAGAATAGCAGTGAGAGAAGCTAGATTGAAGGAAATCAAACAGGAGATATTCAATTGCCAAAAACTCAAGGTATAATTCCAGTTCAGACATTTAATGATGCAATAACATTTTTATATTACAAGGTCATTCACAGTGAGCTTCCTTTAGGACTGCATGGTTTCAAAACTTTACCGAAATGACGCTCGAATTTCGCTCTAAATGAAAACTTAGTAGGCGAGGTGCGAGGTATCATATTGTCTGGTTCACTGAAAAATGTCGAGAGCTCATTCATATCAATTGAATTTTTGTCAAAATGGATAATTTAGGGTTGATGTTTTTTTAATTATATTTCTTTGGTCACTGTAGTTAACCAAACAAAGAGAATATTTCTTTATGACTGTTATTTGTGTTTTCGCTGTGGTGAATTTGGAGGTTGTAATACATGTAGGTGGAGCTTTTTCAACTTGTCTAATTTGAAAAAGGTTAGATTTTGTTTTGTTCGATTTATTTGTGTGATTGATTTTGCTGTTCTATTTCACACTCCATTCTCAACAATAACGTGAATTTTGAAACACGCCCTACTGGGAGATTTTCCGAGGTGGCTCACCCCTATAATTTTTTTATTTTCGAAGGTAGTAAAACAAAATTTTGAAATTGACATTTTGATATATCTACTTGCTTTGCCATACTTCTGGTTTGACTGGAAATTACCCCTACTTTCGATTTTTAAATGGGACTCCCTGTATTTTATTCCATAACGAAATCAACGATACCGGGTTTGATAGGGTTATTTCGTACGATTACGAAGATATTTGCATTCAAAAACAGCTACATCTTGGCGCAAACCGCGATTTAATATCTTCATTTGTCTTATAGTTATTCGCAAATAATCTTTTATGTATTGTTTCTTACCAGTAAGTACGCCTTGCAAAAAAATCAATTATTGTTTCCTAATTTTTGGCGCTAGTGGTGGAAAAGGTTATTTTTTATCGCTTGGAGCGCATGGAAGGGAATCCCTTTGATATTTGCAAAATATCGTTCGTACCTAGGGAGGATAGGGAGAGGTGGTAGGTATTGCAATTTTTCAACTATGAAATAACCAAAATGCTAAGTGTAATGAAAGGTTAAATAAATACAAAAACTCAGTAATTTTTACAAATGTTCATAAAATGAACAACAATGGTAGATGACGAGAGAAAAACAATTACTTTCTTGGCTTAGAATATTGAATTACATCCTCACGAAATCTAGGCATCAATATGTATGAACGAATACTAATGCAATTGTTTCTTTCCCTTATGCCTATTGATTACGATTTAGCCAGGTTAACGCAACGACAGCTAAAGGTCCGAAGACCGCCGGCTAAGCGTAACCTGGCCCAATAAATTCCAATCGGCAATATTAATGGTCTCAGAGGAACCTCCCGTGGGCACAGGTGTGCCAGACGGGTTTATTGCCATATAGACCACATAGAAGGAAAGAAACACTCCAAACTGAAATACCCAAACTTGGAATTTTTTGTTACATTTGTGCATTGATTTGATATTTTGATGGCACCTACCTACATTAAAAACAATAATGTAGAGACTATCGTTAACTGTATTGCAACAACAAAAAGTAACTTTTAATACTTATGGGTGGTGGAATAGGATGAATATATGCCCTATCTTCCGAAGTCGTCTACCAAATTGAGAAAATACGCTCCTATACGCTGAAATGTCTTCTAATGGGATGGTTAACTCGGTATACTGGTGCTACAATAGCAACATTTTAAACACATTGAAAATAAACCGCCATCAGAGAATAAGATATATATTCAAACTACCTAAATATGAAAGTTGCCTAGCAACCAGCAGGGTTGACGCACAATTATTTCCACAGATATCATGATGGAAGTGAACGAATAGTTTATTTGTTTATCTACTCACTGACTCGAAAGTAGGCGTTTGCTCCTCCCACGGGAAAAAAATATCAACTTCCGTGGAAGATAAAATAAATTGTCTTAAGCATGCATTATTTGGCGTCGATATACCTAAAAATCCTGTGCAATCCAAGTAATCAGTGACTTTATCACTATTATTAAACAAGTTACAATAATATCCTTTTTGAATTCCAATGATATCATGCCCTCCTTCATATTCTGAACGTACTACTAATCGAGACTTTCGATTGCAGTTATACAATCTACAAATTAATTAATTAATGATGACAGAAGTGTCGAATTGCCGTCATTTGTCCATGACATACTACACCTTTGTAATGCATAATGATTGGATCGAGAGATAGACCGCCTAAAGCACAATTTCAAGATTAATGCTTCGTTGATAAAATCACATATATATCATGAGAGCAAAGGTTCATTTCCTCCCATGTGTCTTTAATGCCCTCCGCTACGCATCGCGCATCAAACTTTACACGCAGGAGGAAATGGATACCTTTCCTTCCTTGATATATGAATAGCTATTGAAATATAACATGATTTTTCAATACGAAATAAGTTATTTGCGAATAACTCGAAGATAAAAAGATATCGAATCGCGGTTTGCGCCAAAATGTAGCTGTTTTCATGCTCATGAATTTTTTTGAGCAAATTCAGAAAAATGGAATAGTCGGTAAACGACGCCCTCTATAAGACGCGGTATGAACTAACGACCGTAAACGAAGTCAGTTTTTGAATAAGTGTGAAATTATCTTTCACACGAGCCCAAGTTGATTGAATTTGGATTAGGGGTATGGAAGATACAGCAATTCGAAAAATGTTATGCTCACAAGCTTACCCCATAATTATTATTCAAGATACGAAAAGAAGTCTGAAGACCAACACAACGATAACTTATTGCTCTGTTCATTTCCGTTATCAAAGAATTATCTTACTCAGCGATTTCATGAGATAATTCGAATTTCTCGTTGTATCATAGTAACTTCGCCCCCTACCGGTCATTTTAGAAACTTGAAAATATTTTGAATCAATTTTTCATCGCCGATTTTGTCAATACATTTTTTCAAGATGTAAGGTATATGGTTTCCACAATATCGTACCTCACTGACCTTAGTGGAACACCCTGTATTATCCGGTTCCTTGAAGCTGTAAGGTATATGGTTTCCATAATAACGTACCTCACTGACCTTAGTGGAACACCCTGTATTATCCGGCTTCTTCGAAACGGGTGAAATACCCGAAGTGTTGAGTTGTCCTAGTTGTCAGCAGTTCGAGAGAGGCTGATGAGGCCTGGTGGGCCGAAACAGTACTGTCTCGCTCCTGCTGACAAGTGGGGCAACACTGTTCATCCCAGATCTTTTATTAATGAGATCTATTTATAATAATAATAATAATAATACTTTATTTTCCAATAAGACAATATTACAAATTGTATAGGAAATTGTCAGAACATAGAACAGAAGAAAAAATACAGAAAATATGTAGAAAAGACGATTAAAAGATCAAGACCTATGTCTAGCCTAAAAATTCTGTCAGCGAATAATAACATTTTTGCATCAAAAAACTGTTTAGCGTCTTTTTGAAAAGAGCAAGATGCTCTGCATTCTTTATGTGGTCGGGAAGTTTATTGAAAATTCTTCTTCCGATGTGCTCAGGTGATCTGGAGGTTACTCTTAGTCTAGCAAATGGTACATGAAATTGATCTCTAATCCTGGTGTTATAGTGATGAACATTTTTATTCACTTGACCTGTTTTTATATATTATTATATACAGACATATTTCTGACATATATATAGATACTAACGTTAGCACATTGAAATCTATAAAGAGTGGTTTACAAGATTCTGTGGCCGAGACCTTCGCAATACATCGCAATATGCGTTTTTGGGCAATGAATACATCTTGCGCCATGCTTGAACTACCCCAAAAACAGACACCATACCTAAGTCTGGACTCTACCTGGGAGTAATAAATATTCAGCAGCTGAGTTCTATTCAAAACCGAGCGCAAATTCATAAAAAGAAACTTCAGGGAATTAAGCTTGGAAATTAAGTGTTGACAGTGGACATTCCAGTTCAGAAACTTGTCTAGGAAAATACCCAGAAACTTGACACTTTCGTTAGTCTCCAGATATGTTACATTGTCAACCATGAAACTAAATCTTTCTATTTTATTCTGTCTATTATGTATGCGGATAATCTCTGTTTTATCTGAATTGAAAAATAAATCATGATTATTAAAAAAATTTGATATCTGACTAACTGCACTGATACATTTAATTTCCAAAATTCTGGTATCTGAGGCAGAAATAATCAACGATAAGTCATCAGCATAGGCCGTATAATGACACCCAGCTATTACAGAATCAATATTATTGACATACAAAATGAACAGAATGGGCCCCAAAATGGATCCCTGAGGTACACCCATCTCTATATTTGAAGGTTCTGAATCAATTCTCCGAATTTCATTATTAATGGTTGCCTGAAGGGACACATACTGGCTCCGATTTTTGAGAAATGAAGATATCCAGCTGAGCGAGACACCTCTTAGTCCACACATTTCCAGTTTTGCTAAGAGCTTCTGGTAATTGACACAGTCGAACGCACGGCTTAGATCACAAAAGATTGCTGCCGGACATTCACCTGTTTCAACATATTTTATGATTTCATTGTATAATGAAAACATGGCAGTATTTGTAGATTTTTTTTCGCGAAATCCATGCTGCATTTGTGTAAAAATGTTATGTTGGTTCAAAAAGGAATTGAGACGATCCAGGAATGCGTACTCAAATATTTTTGAAAGTCCATATGGGACAGTTACTGGACGATAGTTTTCTATCATAGATGGTGATTTCTTTTTGAAAATTGGAGATACTTTTCCCATTTTCAACTGCTTTGGAAAAGTGAATAGGTTTGGATTTCTACTCAAGTAGTCAGGTAGTGCCATCTGTCAGCAGATTGTTTTACTTGTAGTAGCACTCTGTAATATGTAGCCGTAATGGTCTCACATGTTGACTATAGATGGCAGCGTCATGCAGTGTATGGCCCGATCGAAAGTTTCTACCTAAGAACTAACATCACTAGATGGCGATAGCATGACAAGATCATCATGTCAACAAACGAGTCTTTGAAAAAATTAAAATTTTCAGAGCTATTTCGAAGACAATCCTACCGACTTGCAAGTCCTCAGGCACGACAAGGCGCTGCACACCGTCAGGATACAGCGCCATCTGGCGGACGTGCCGGAATATATCGTGCCGGCGACGTTGAAGAGCCTGGCGGGCATCACGAAGACCAGGAAAAGGAGGAGGGAGTTTCGAGGCTCGGAGAGTTCCAATTCCAAATTCCAAGTGAGTCATCGGAGTTTGTTTAGTAAAGGTATGGTCGATCCAAAGTCAGTTAGAGCACCTCGAGAAAAAACGGTTCGCAGAGCGGTTTCGCTTCTTTTGAAGTTTTTTTGGAGTCCGTGCACGTGGCAGACATACACATATTGTTTTTTTTTTCAATTCAAAACTTTTCCACGCCCTGTATGATGAACATCAATTCATTGTGCAATCGACAAACGCTCCAACTGGCTTTTGGATAGACTATACTATGACAGTTCAGCGACACTTTGTAAGTAACATTTTTCATCAAAATTAGAAAAATATACTGTATGCAACACTTTAGGAGACGCGCCATTTTGTGTGACGATGGGATTTTGCTGGACAAGCGAAGCGAACATATCCTAACTGGTTACGTAAATATCTATATCAACACCTTGTGTCTTGAATACCTATGCCGTTTCATGTTTTTACTGAGCAACTTCAACTAATTTTACAGTGTTCTACCTATTCTAGCAACGGAGGCATCTTTTATGTATATAGGGTGAGTCATAACTATTGGGATAGGACGGATTGTTCGCACCAAAATATGGCGATATGGCCAAATACCCGACAATAAAATATTGCTGTGGAAAAAGATACAGGGCGTTACAATTGAAAAAGTATTGACTATATACTCGTATCAAAATTTATTCACTGACAAGTAATGCCATTACCAGCAACAATTATTTGACCGTCCAAAGTACATTCTTCATAAATGAAATACTATTTGAAATCTACCTTCCGAGACTTTTAACTGTTCAATTGTTTTCTCGAAAACGGATGAAAATATCGTGTTCGAACAATATTACCAATATTACGTAGAAATGATGTTCATATAATATTTTCTAATCAAAATCACTAAAAAGTTTCGTCAAAAAAAGTTACCAGTCGATCTCATCATCAGGAATCATTCACGTGGCACCCCCTGTGACAAACTGTACATTAATACATAACATAATGTTGCCTGATGAAATTATGCCTCTGTACCGATTTTGATAACAATTGTTAAATATACAGTGAAATTGTTAGCAAAAAACGAAAAAATAAAAATAACATCAACGCCCTGTATATTCTTCCATAGCAATATTTTATTGAGGCTAATTGGTCCTATCGCCATATTTTGGTCCAAACAATCAGCCCTTAGCCTACGTCCCAATAGTTAAGTCTCACCCTGAATACTGAACTTATAAAATAAAGCCAGTTTGAAAGTAAAAATTAAATCATCTTCACCTTTGATATTCAGTCGAATTTCTACGATTCATCACATGATATCGGCAAGCATCTGATTCATGCTATAAGCCAAGATTATTTAAGCAAAGCTATAGGAAGGGTTACAGATTATGTCTTGTTCATTATTATACCTAATGACAGATTTTGTTTGACTTATTTCAAACGTCAAACTCCAAAAGACAAAATTGAAACTCACCTTTTCTGAAAAAGCAGAAAATATCATAGAACAACTAATAATTGAACGTCGCCACATCAACGTATACTAATAATAAGTCAAGTGAAAGATATATTCGAATGCAATTTGAAAATTAGACCAAATTCACGTTGACCGGAAATAATTCGCCAGTGAACAGAGTAAACGTACTATGAGAGTTTTGGGACACTTTTCCCATGTAAATCTATCTCCATCAGGAAAGTTGTATTAGACAGAAACGGAAATGGTCGTTATCAAGGACATCTCTAAGACTACGACCGGTCATAAGCCGATGATTAGAACCGCAAACTGAGAACACACACAAACACATCTAGACTAACAAGATGATAAATTGATATCATTCAGTAGTGCACCTATGTATCCACGGCCTTAATCCTATCCCACCCATGCTTTATTCTTAACTGGAATACTTGCCTAAGCCAACGAAGTTTGGATGTATCGACGTCGTTCAATCATCATATCACCCCTCTAATCCTACCCTGAAGGGGTGAATTCACCCTCTTGGTACACTTAGAGAAATATTTCTATTTGCTGTTATATGGAAGTGTACAACCTTCTAAAGATTTCTGAATTATTCAGGATGATTCATTAAGAATGAGAAATCTCTGAACAACAGATAGTAAACGCTAAAATATTGAGATTTAGCCTGACATGCCTGATAAAAATGTTGCTGGTTTAGGAAATACAGGGTGTTCTAAAGGGAGAATTTATTTTAAAACCCAATAACTTTGTAAGTTTTAACAGCATGAACATGAAATCTTGTAGTTTCAGGTTTCCTGAATTTTCAACTTATTTTGTGATCGCTCATAGAGGATGCTAGTGGCACTCTGTTACTTTGGTAAATTACATCATATTGGGTTGAATCTACATATTTTGGTGTTTAGTATCTGTAGTTCAGAGATTTTCCATCCTTAATTTAATAAATAAATGTATTGAAATGTTATAAGAGGAACATGACTTCTCTTCAGGGGCGAATAACTCAAAAACCTTCAAAGCCAGTATTTGAAAGAGTACATTTTCATGTAAAATTGAACGGCTTTCAGATTTTTCACTCATTTTGATGATCATCGAATGGACAAAGAAGATAAATGATGTAATTAACCGAAGTAACAGAGTGCCATTAGCGCCCTCTATGACAAAGACAAAATAAGTTGCATATTTGTATTCTTCATGTCAAAAAACATAAAACTAAAAGATTTCCATGCTGTACATTTTGAATTTAAATCTACCTTCTGAACACCCTGTATCTCCTAAACCAGCAACATTCTTATTAGGTATGTTAGGCTAAATCTCAATATTTCATTTACTATCTGTAGTTCAGATATTTCCCATTCTTGATGAATCACCCTGTATAGGTGCCAGCATAATCCCATTTTCACCATAATCAGAATATTGACGATGCTAATAATAGTGATGATAATAATGAGCTGACAATATAAATCATAATAAAAAAACAAGAAATGCATACATTATATTAGATATAGTCACGCCTGGAGAGAAACTAGCCTCCTATAATCCCTATATCATTCCCTTGTAAGAAACAATGCTTTCAATCTCTACTTGAAATTTCTCAAAGTGAATTCTTTTAGTTCCTTTAGTTCCGAGGAAAGGGTAATATATAATTTATAAGCATTATATAATAAGCAACGGGTGAATAGTGCTTTGTTGTGTTTGGGAATGAGTTGAATATACTGTCTGTAGGTTAATCGAGGAGGTGGTACATTCATTTTACTTTGGGATTATTTGGGATTTTCTCCCCTCGTTTCTATAAAATATTATATGATTATTATTTTAATATATGTGTAGTAGGACAAATCAGATGATTTGCCACAAAATGTCACTGCATTCAACACATTTTTCTATCAGGGAGCCTAAAAGAAAAGTCCAATAGCTTGTCAGGGACACTTTGTTTGGAAAAATGTTTGATGAGAAGAAATATAGATATATTGAAAAAATATCGAATTTTTACTCATCTTTGGACGATTCGGGAACGAATATGCTCCCGTTCTCAACATGAAAATGCAAAATATTTTTCTTCGAAAATTGTTTTCTCATAGTTTGACCCCTGTCAGAGACATACTGATGTTGGCATATGGATGAGTGATGATGTTAGTATACAAATGAGTTACAGGATGTTTTCTCTAATTGATCTTGATTCTGCCATTTTCATGTTCAGTTTTCAGTAGTGAATACCATTTTCTATCTATATCAACTGAACAAGAAGCAATGCTATTGTCTCCGTTCAGAAGAATGCAAGCGGATTCCTTGATTTTTCTCTTGGTTGTTATCTTCCTTTCATATGATTTTAATATTATTCCACTCTGCCATATGTTGTCCATTTTCAGTAAGGATATGTTCAGTTAGCTATGATTTATCGATATGTCTTTTCTTGATATTGTACACTCGTCTTCAGCGCTCTTATTGCAGCGGTGATTAACAGAGCTGACACCGTCCATGTGCGACATGTTCTCTGAAGACGACTGTACTTGTGTTCATTCATCCTTACTGAGAGAGATCTCTTCGTTTCACCTGTATAATACTTTCCACAAACACAAGGTATACTATAAATACAAAATTTAAACTAAACTTGACCTGAATATTTTCTGTAGGTGAAGAAGAGCAATCCTTTATTGAGTATGCAGTTCGAGGGATTTGGAAAGAAGAAGAAAAAAAGCAGTTGAAAGTAATAATGTAATGTACAAATATAAATATTCAGAAATATCACAATTTCGCTTTTTTCCCCTACATCTTCGTTCAGATGTTCTTGGATCTGCATGTTGTTGATACATTATTAAAATCAGTCTTGTATATCATGAAAAAGTCTCAGAAGTGAAAAGTTGGTAAATAGTTTTGCTCAAAGTAGGTCCAATCGCCTTTTTGTACTTACCAAACTTGATCGGAGCTAATAGTTTTTCACCTTTGATGCCCGTATTTTCCGAGTAAGCTTGCCTTAATGTTGCAGGAGTTGGATAAATTTCCACTATCGCCAAGGCCCTATCCACTGATATCCCTTTTAGTTGCAGCAACATTTTGACGAATAAGTCTGTTACTTTCATTGGCTGAAAAAATAAATGGAATTGCATACCAAAATGTCAACACAAGGCAATAATTTGAATGCGTGAATTTGAGTGTGCATATAACTGAAATGTAGTAGTAACAACACGAATGCATAGATTTTTTGATAAAATATGCAGTAATACGTCAAAATACATCATGGAACGTTCAAATAGCGTTCGGCAACCAACTCGTCTATCCAATACTGACGTCATAATCATTTTTCCGGGTTTGCCTCCAGCAGTATTATGTCAAGGAAATATCAAGAAAAATTATCCCAATTTTTGAATCCACCCAACTGAATTATTAAGATGATTCCATATTCATTGATGTAGTAAATGTCAAAAATATAGATAGATATATAGATAGGCTTTATTTAACACTGTTACATGTAAATGTTTAGTGCAAGTCAAAATGTATCGTAATGTTCGTATCATAAATACTAATAAAGAACAAATACTTATAAAAAACAAATACACATAGTAGTCAGACAGACATAATGATAAAATATATAATATATAAATGGGAAAATAGCTAAAATAAAGTATGATAAAAATGAATCATTGAATAATTCATGAATGAAGGTGCCAAAAACAGTTAATTAATTATAAGGCTTACATCATGTGAAAGATGAAAAAGTTGAGATTACAATTCGTGAGTGAGCGACTCAGTAAGTATATCAAAGGACATTTTCGAATCCAAATATTCTTGAACACTGTAGAAGCATCATTTTTTGAGAATAAACGATCTAGTGTCATAAGCATGGGTATCCGAGTTGGTACATAACACTGCCGTCCTTCTATGTATTTCAATTAGACTCTGATAAACATATAAAGATGGCAAAGGCATAGCACGAAGCTGTTGAAAGAAAGGCTTACAATTATCTCTGGAATCTGCTCCAATAATTTTGATTATCTTTTTCTGTAACACAAATACTTTATGGGCATGTGGACAGTTTCCCCACAAAATCACACCATATAATTATATTGTAGTTATACAGAGAAAAATAAGCTGTTCTCAATGTATCAAAACTAATTATTTTCCTGAGTTGTCGAAAAAGGAAGACATTTTGTGCCAACTTGTTTCGTACTTCTAATATGTGAGTGGACTACAAAAGCTTCTCATCGGTTTTACCACCATTGCCAATTCTACAGGTTTTTAGCTGAAATGATCACTAATCGAGTAGATTGTAGCACGTTGAAGGTTCAATCAGCAGCGACAAAATATTCATACCGCTAATATTATTATTATTGACATCTGGATGTTGGTATTTCCTCTCATTGTCTCTATGATTGAAATTAATAGTATTATTTCAATATGTAATGTGTAGTAATAGACCGGGAGCCCACAAAGTGTTTTTTTGTCTCATTTGTTCACATTCGGCAATATATGAACCCCCCCTTCCTCCGAATTCCACCTCCCACACGGATGAGGTCGCCGAATAAAAATTGGGGACCAAAGACTGGGAGACGCGTTGGTGAAGTTGTAGTAAAAAATCCGTGGTCTCTTATCATAACTTAGCGTTCGGCGTATGTGGCAAGTTAATGTAATTGAAAAAAAAGATTGGGCGGACGGAATCTGATTGAGTCAACTCACCTTATTTTTCATAGAACTCCGATTGAACTCGTTGAACGTCATCAGAGGTATCAAATCGTCAGTCAAATCAACTTCGTCCAAATTGTCCTTGGGGCAACTCATTACAGTCTTGTCCTAAAATAAATTTTGAATTGACTCGGCCGTTACTTCATGGAAATCCGTAGTAAATGTAAAAAACTTCACAAACAATAAGATTTCCAGAAAATTATCAATCAGAAGACATATAACACATCAGCTTCTTCAGGTGAAATACTGTTACAATAAACAGCGGCGGATTTACCGGTACGCTTAGTCTAAAGCTTAGGGCCCCGACTCTTGCGGGGGCCCTAGCTTTGCATCATTATTTTCCCATATAATTTGTTTGTATAAATGAAATAATGACAAAAACAAATCCGAGCAATACTTCTGCCGTTTTGTTTTCCCCAAATATCAGCTGAATAAGAACAAAATCAATTATTTTCAGTTTTTTCGAAATATTTCAGGAACGGCTGGAATTTTTCGAGTTTGCAAAACGATATATTGAAAAAGTTTAAATTACGCAACTTTTGTCTAATTTCATCAACTGTCTATCTCCTCTACTGTTTAGGAAACACCTAGCAATACTGTCCCTATGAAATCGACGGGTCTCTGTACAGCAAAGGAATGATGAACGGAGGAATTTTTCAATTGAAATAAGTGCTTTGAACTTTTTTCTACACTACCAGTGACCAGTTTCGAAGCAGAGCACTGATTTTCAAAATTAACAATAATTAATAGTTATTTAACCAACTAGTGTATTAATCGCCTTTTAATATACGAGTTGGTTACAAAATTTTTCTGTCGACTATATTTCTTATTTCTCCTGCAATGAAGAAAACTTGGTTCACGAATTCATCATTCATCCAGAAACTACTAAGAATCACCCAGTAGTCTTGTTACTGACATTAGTGACATTTGACATTTGTCGAAATGATCAACATAGAATCATAGAAAATAAATTCCAGCGAACCCGTTAACGGAAAATCTTCGATGAAATCCATATTTTTCAAAGCATAAACAATGAATGCACGCGGTGTATGTTTGGTTGCCTATAAAATAATCGTGCATTAATAGACAAATTGATCATTAATAGGGGTCATTAATGAACGATTTCATAAACATTAAACTTACTCGTTAATACGAATTCGACGAAAAAATCAAATGAAGAACGGTATTGCTAAAGAAAATATTACCACCTTTGGGAATGCTTTTCATGGAAAGTGATTTGACGAACAGTTTGAAAATTATGATGGTGCAATGAAAGGATTCGCAGATTTGAAAATCAGAAATCAGGAATGGTAATATGCTTCTAGTAATTTCGTTATTGCTTGAACTTGTATGAACTGTCTGATCCTAGTCAGTGTTATAGTTACGGTGATTTTATTTATGTCGTTCTATCCACTTATTTGTTTTTTTTTTCGTTTTTTTCTGTTTCCTATATCCTATAGATTGAAGATACTATATTTTTATAAATGCATGTATTTTTTTTTGCTTTATTATGTCTTTTATATTTTCATCATCAAATGTATAGTTTTGTTTTCATTTGGATTTGGGAATAAAATATTACATATGGTATTTTTGAATAAAAAAACAGAAGTTTTGAGTATTGATTGAAAAAAACAGGAGAAGGTATGGGGGTAGGGGCAACAGGGGCACCAAGAATTAGTGAGCTTAGAGCCCCAGAAATCGTAGATCCGCCACTGACAATAAACTAAACTTTCATTGGCTTCCCTAACTTTTATATCATACTTTCCCAACATGAAGAATAAGAATTACTTGTGGAAAGGATCGATAAAGTTTAGTTTATTGTACAAGTACTTGTACATGTCGCGTGGTTAAGGATTTTTTGAAAATATTATCGTTTGTGAAGTTCTTGACATTTTCCAAAATAAATTGTCGTTAATTTCGTATCGTCAGTGAAACTTGCAATTAATGAATGTGATGAAGAATCTGAGCATACTGGTAGGAACAACAATACATTCCGCAAAGGAATGTGAAATATTCCAATTTAATATGATATAATTAATTAATATATAATATAAATTAATAAGCAGGTTATTCGAGGGGTTTTGCACACACGTCCCCACCAATGCAATCGAACGATTGCCGCCAGAATCTCATTTTAGAATTTTTGTCAGTTACTTGCCTGTGAAATTTGAAGAACAAGTTGTATTTGGGAAGATTAATTTCTTCACCAGTTTGATGAATAGACAATTTACTTGATCTCTACCAAGTTGAACAAGTCAAATTAATTCTGTGTCCTTCTATTTATTATCTATCAAATGTTAAGTGATTCTAAAAGTGATGTGTATTGCATAAATTTGAGGTGACTGCAAGCTAGGATGCGAACGTCATATAATGTAATCTTCAAAATAGTCAATATATACATCTGTGCTTGCGAAAGGTCTGATCGTTCCGAATTTTTTATATGATTGTTAGGACCTCAACCAATATCAAAAAACCAGATTTGCAATTTCCAAGGTGCTGTGGGATCGGCGGTAAACCTAAAAAAACATGAAATTTTCTGACTTTCAGTTTTCGCTCAATATCTCGGTGGAGGAAAGGACTAGGTTAGGTTAGGTTAGGACTAACCATTATAGTCATTCGATATACGTTCGGAATATACTAAATTTGCTATAATTTGAGACTAATACGAGCTCCAAACAGCCGTTGGTTCCCAAGATACAGTTCTTCGAAAATATGCTTTTTTTTAAGTGGAGTTTCTTCAAAATGGTCATTCATTTTGTGAATTATCTTCTAGGAAACACTTCCCACGTCAAAAATTATTCAAGATGAGTTGTAGTGAATATAATTGGCTTCCATTTGAGACTAGACTGATACCTGTAAGCAGTTCCCCCAAAACGGCAGGAAACCAAGTCATAAGGCGTATTTTGATGGTTTTTATTTATCAAACACTGTTTTTTTTTTCATTTTAGGTATTGTTGAAAAATAATTTGGGACCTGACGAGTAGACTATACAATTTCTACATGTTTTTTGTTACTGAAACAATTGGGAACAATTTCAGGCAAATAAAGGACC